CCCCCCAAACCTCTGTTGTTTCTCTGTTTGTGTTTTTTTTTTTTTTTTTTTTTTTTTTGCAGGAGTGGGTTATGCCACGCAAGTGATCGTGGCCCTGCTGAACATCTACTACGTCATCGTGTTAGCCTGGGCCATCTTCTATCTGTCCAACTCTTTCAGCTGGGACCTGCCGTGGGCCTCGTGCAACAACACCTGGAACACGGGTGCGGTGCCCCTTTTCACACAACAAGAGTCAGACCACGCACACTTCAGAAAGTGTCGTCAGGAGTCATGCATTTGAATCCTTCTGTAATTCAAGGTTCCTGTGTGACGTTTCAGACGAGGAACAGCTCCGTCGGCGCCCTCGGGAATGCGACCTCTGCGGTCATTGAGTTCTGGGAGTAAGCTCACAAAAAAAAAAAAAAAAAAAAGATTTTTGCATGTTTTAGTACAGTGGGTCACAAACTTCTTCCACCCAGTACAACCAGAAAAATATGTAGCACCGACATCACATCAAAATGAGGGACAAATATTTGTGAATTGACGATGAATGTACACATTATCTTTTGTAATAATTGTAAAATAGTGTTCAATATTCATCCATACATGTAAATATTACAGTTAAAAAAGTCAGTTAACAAGGACAGTCACTAACTGTAATTTAACACCGTAAAATTATGGCTTGCTGTAAATTACTGATGTTAAAACAGTATCTTGATTTATTTTTTTTATGTAAAATACCATCAAATAGGCATATAAATGAACAGTTAATGCTTACTGTCATGAAGAATAACAAGATGTAATTGTAACAGTGTAAAACAGTTCTAATCCCGCTCTGTCCAGGTCATGCGTCGATACAACTACCACCCCATGTGGATACATCGAGTGTGTGACAGGAAAGTGCCATATAAATCGGATTCATTATTTTTTTTATTTTTTTTTTTTTTTTGAAATTGGATTCATTATTCTTTTTTAGGAAAACTCTTATTGTGAAAACACACGAACACAGTTATCTCACTGTCGTGTACTGAAATCCAAAATATGGATTGCATTCTGTTAAAATAAGTAAGTTGTGACCACCAGAAGAATCCAGCGATGCACATTTTGAGAATCCCTGTTTTGGGTTTTTTGGGGGGTTAACATTTCCAATGGAGTTGACATACAAGGAGAAGTAATAACTGCAGCATCGGATGCATGTGCTTCAGACGCAGGGTGCTGAGAATTTCCTCGGGTATCGATCACATTGGCTCCTTGAATTGGGATTTGGTGATCTGTCTGGCCATTGCCTGGATCATTTGCTACTTCTGCATCTGGAAGGGAGTCAAGTCCACTGGCAAGGTGAGCACGGACACCCTGGATGTTCCCGTGGCAACCCCAGAGAGGGGAAAGTTGCTGCTGCTCTGGGTAGAAATAACCCAACGTTTGCTTGGAACCCAGCGCTGGGTTTGCTATTTCCCCAATTTTGGGTTACAGCAGTTGTAAGAGTGACATGCTTGTTATTCCTTGACAGGTGGTTTACTTTACAGCCACGTTCCCATATGTGATGTTGGTGATCCTGTTGATCCGAGGAGTCACCCTGCCGGGAGCGTCGCGGGGGATTCACTTCTACCTCTACCCAGATTTGGGGCGGCTTTCTGACCCACAGGTTGGTCCAAAGACACATTTGGACGGACAAGTCCAAAATAGGACAATTTAGGCATTCATTTTATTATTATTTGCTTTGCTTGACACGACCCTGTTCCAGACTGGCCCTAATTGGTGCCATTTTGCCAATTTGAGGTCACACAAGCTCACAGTATTTGTTTGACTTTACAACCGAGAGAGAAATCTGCAAAACAAATCGGCCAAATTTGCGTCATTTTCTTTGTTTCGTATTGTACGCTGTTATTGTCTAAAGAAATGGTATAAAATCAACACTCGGCCCGCTTTTGCCGATTTTGATATTAGCCTATTAAATCAGCCCAACCGATTAATCGGCGGAGCCCGAATAATTGCTTCTATTTAAAAATGTCTGCGATGAAGCAAAAAGGTTGAAAAACCTTCATTTGCATGTCCCGTATTGAAACAGTTTCCTTCGGACTGTCTGTTTGTTTGGCATGCTAAAAGGTGTGGATGGACGCCGGCACTCAGATCTTTTTCTCCTATGCCATCTGCCTCGGTTGCCTCACCGCACTGGGAAGTTATAACAAGTACAGCAACGACTGCTACAGGTGAGCACGGCACAAATTTGGGGTGGACTTTTGGACGGGGCGATCAAATTTATGCGAATGGTCCTCTGTTTGATTTGCAGGGATTGTTTGTCTCTGTGCTTCCTGAACAGCGGCACTAGTTTTGTCGCAGGCTTCGCCATTTTCTCCATTTTGGGCTTCATGTCGTACGAACAGGATGTTCCCATCTCAGAGGTGGCCGAGTCTGGTCAGTGGTTCCCTCCTCATCGACTCCAATGATCCACATGTGGATAGGCAAGCTTAGGGTTTGAAATTCGGGTTTCAAACCAAGGTAAGGGTTTCGATCAGTGGCGGGGTTGAGGTCGGTCTGTGTGAGGTGGGTCATCCAGCGCACATCGGGTTTTGAACAAGGGTTTGGGTTTCAAATTATGGTTTGGAACCAAGGTTTCAAGATGAGTTACAAACATGGACCCGGGTGGAAAACCTAGTTTGACATTTATAATAAATTTTGCACGATTGTTTCAAATAATCGTTGAGATTTCAAATTGGGGTTTGAAGTAAAGATTAGGAATCAAAGGAAGCATTTAAATTGTATTTTCAAACCAGATGTTGGGGTTTCAAAGTCGACTTTGAAGCCAAGATTTTAAATTACGGTTTCAACTCTTGGTTTGGAGTTTTTGGGATTTGAAGCCAATGTTCAGGTTTCACGCCTGCGTTACTGTTTCAACCCTAAATTAGGCTTTCAATTTACGGTTTCAAGCAACGGTTAAAGTTTCAAATGACAATTCCAAGCCTTTTTTAGGCTTTCAAACAATGGTCAGGATTCAAATGAGGGTTTGAAGCTAATGTTGGGATTTCAAACAAAGTTTAGGTTTCTAATTAAGATTTGAAGCCAGCCATAGGGGTTGTGAAACATCGGTTAGGGTTTTAAATGAAGGTTTCAAACCATCCAAAACGTGGGCTTGATGTCATTTCGAAGGCTGACTCGGGCTGAGCGTTTCTATTCTGTCCTCGAAAATGCTAAAGACTTCTTTGCACGAGTCCCCCCCCCCCCAGCTGGGCTCGGCATGCCCACCGTGTCCAATTGAAGTGTGTGAAACGCAGGTCCAGGCTTGGCCTTCATCGCTTATCCACGTGCTGTGTCCATGATGCCTTTCTCGCCTCTGTGGGCCTGTTGCTTCTTCATCATGATTGTCTTTTTGGGACTGGATAGTCAAGTGAGAGCCACACACAGTTACATTCCGATTCCGGGATCCGTCTTCCTGTCCTTCGGAGTACATGTCCAAATTGTCTGCCGCAGTTTGTGTGCGTGGAGAGCCTGGTGACGGCCGTGGTCGACATGTACCCATCCACCTTCCGGCGCAAACACCGCAGGGAGCTCTTCATCCTCGCCGTTGCCGTGCTCTCCTTCCTCATGGGCCTCATCATGCTCACTGAGGTCAGTCGGATGTCAATAAATATTCATGTTTTGGCTCACAAATGTTTGTCACCATGACCTTGTGTCGACAAGGAATCTTGTAGCGCCTCCCCCGAGATGTCTTTGGGGAAGTGGTTGTCCCCAGAACCTGACCCCGGTCGACGGATGCAGAACCCGTAGGGCAACAATCCTACTTCGCTCATTGCCACCTAGCCCCCTCTGGAGGGGAGGAGGATACAGGAGAAGCGGCAGTAAAAGAGGCCAAAATGCAGATGTCAGTGGTTGAGGCAGGACAAGAGAAGTCGAAGAAAGAAGAAATTTTATTTCAGCTTTCATATACAGCGAGATTTAAAAACGCAAACACAATTTTAAAAGTTTTTAAATGTTTGTAGGTTAAAAAATGAGGGGCAGCCACAAAGCTGATGAAAGGAAGGCCCCCCCCCCATAATACCATTGGGCTGTATATGTCAAAATAACAATTGTATTTATTCATAACTAAATAATTTTTTTTAAATTGTGACATTGATTGTTGATAATTCAAAAACATGCACGGTAGGTTGATTGAGCCCTCTAAATTTCTCCATTGTGAGACAAATAAAGGCTTTTTTCTTATCTTAATGCTTTTCATGGCAAATTTGCTCCACAATTTTTTTTAAATTGTGACATTGATTGTTGATAATTCAAAAACATGCACGGTAGGTTGATTGAGCCCTCTAAATTTCTCCATTGTGAGACAAATAAAGGTGATCTTATTTTATCTTATCTTAAATTGTCCGTAGGTGTGATTATGAGTGTGAATTATTGTTTGTCTATGTGCGCCCTGCGATTGACTGGTTTACCCCTGCCGACTGCCCGAAGACGGCTAGAATCGGCTCGAGCACGCCCGCGACCCTCGTGAGGATAATCGGCATTTACTTCCTGGATGTCGCCCACAGGGAGGAATGTACATCTTCCAGCTTTTTGACTACTACGCAGCCAGCGGGATGTGTCTGCTCTTTGTGGCCATTTTCGAGACGGTTTGCATCGCGTGGGTTTACGGTGAGTGTGTTGAGTGAATGCATATTATTGATGGTGTTCCGATTTCCGACTTTTTAAAATTCCTTCAATTACAGGCGCAGACAATTTCTATGACAACATCGAAGACATGATTGGTTATCGTCCGAGCGCTGTCATTAAGTACTGCTGGCTGTTCTTCACCCCTGCAACCTGCTTTGTGGGTTCCTCGTTCTCATACTCAGTTGGCCAGTTATTCTTTTGGGAGAAGAGCACCATCTGGTGGTCCAAAGATGTTCAACGATGGGTCATTATTTTCTGGGTTTTCTATTTCAGGGAACATTCGCCTTTGCCTTGATCAAATACTCCCCATTAAAATACAACAATGATTACGTGTACCCGTGGTGGGGCTACGGAATTGGCTGGGTCCTCGCCCTATCATCCATGCTGTGCATTCCTCTTTGGGTGGCAGTTCAACTCCATTCCACCTCTGGGTCACTACGACAGGTATGATGCACACACACAAAAAACAATAGATATTTTTAAAAAGCAGTTTCAAGTTGCCCAAGGACATGGGAAATACTACCGAAATTTAAGGATTTAATTTCCATTCAAATGAGTGGAAATTCATCTGTTCTGACAATCACCCCTCACCTCAAAAAGGAAAAATTCTTCTTCTTCTTTTGGTGTGCTTAGTTTGACCCCTAGGGAGCAGTGTAACACAGAGAACCAGACAATTTATGTTTAGTTTGACAGTAAAATACTGGGAGTAGCTTGAAGCTTCTGTTTATTTTGTTTTGTTTTGTTTTTATTCTTTACTGTCTGCCAAAATCCAAAGTGAACAACTGTTCTTGTTTTGAAAAAGTCTTATTTCAAAGCACCACTGCACAATAATGACTCATTTGTGCTTCCTTTGTTCTCACCATTGACTTTTGATCCGGCTCTCATGTATGGGGTCTTATTCCATTTTTGTCATGAATTCTGATGTTATACATATTCTCTTCCACTCAGCGCCTCACTCGACTGATCACCCCTTGCGACAATTTACCCAAGTGCAAACGGCAGCGGGAGAACTTGTTTTCTGACGGCCTCCATCGGAAGGCGCCTCCGAGCAAAGACAGCTACTCGCCCGTCCACCAAGTGGAGTCCAATTGCTAGAGACTGCTGGGTCAAAGTTCAGTCTGACACCCGCCCAAACACGTAATGACATACCTCATCAGGGCAACGGACTCTTGGGACTTAGCTGATTGACTGTCTTGATACTGCTGATTTGGTGCTCATGCATAATTTGCATGGTTTCAAAATTTGGATAAACTGTCAGCATCTCATTGGCAATTGCAGAGTCACATCTGGCTATTATTGTGACAAAAAAAAAAACAACCGTCGTTGTCCTCTTATAGTCAGATTATTTTTCTTTTTTTTACATAATAAAAGTGTACACTTGTATATGTATAATGTTTTAAAGTTAGTTTAGTTTTTAAAACATTTCATGTGTTGCGTATATCTGTATTGTACTGCTTCTGTGTGGCCAAGAATAGGAGCAGCACAATGTCAATGGGCATTGAAGCATAAAATCACGATGTATAAAATGTTTAATTCATTACATTCTATTTAATTATGTTATTACTGTGTGCTTTCAAGACTACAGCACTATAGACCGTATATAAAATGCTATCTTTCGGATCAAAAAAGTGGTGCTGACCGGTCTATATAAGATTTAATCGGCAGGCGTCGCTGTGGTCACAATGATGAATGGCTTAGTGTTTACGGAAGTGGGAGTGACGTGTCACCCACCGAGCCCTGATGCATTGTGGGTAAAGAAGCCAAGCTAACGGCGGCCGATACCATTTACGTCGCCCTCGAACGCTATAGTTCAGTCGATGAACGAAGCTACATTTAAAAGGGCGGCATGTCATTTTGAGCACGTTTAATGTCCGCGCCGTTTGATGAAAGCGGACTTATGTCAGCGTCGTCGCTGCTCTCCTGCGCACCGGCGCTCCAAGCGAACGAAACGGGGGATCCCGTGTGGATGCACCGCGGCGTTTCCGTGCTCTTTTCCAGGGGAGGCAAATAAAAAAAAGGGAAGTCGCGGCGGATTATTGAGCAGGGAAGGTGTGGATGGTTGGCGGCGGGGACGACGACGTCCGCGCTACCGTGCTCCGCGTTGCCTGACTGCTGTTTATTCCCCCCCGCCCCCTCTCTTCCGTCCGTCGAACACTCTCCTTGGGCTCAAAGATGTCGACCAGCAGTCCCGAAGCGGTGAAGAAACTGCTGGAGAACATGCAGACCGACCTGCGCTCGCTCTCCATGGAGTGCAAGAAGAAATTCCCCCCAGTTAAAGAGGTCAGTGTGCGAGTTGTCTTAGCATAAGACACAATTTATGTAGAACCTAACCACCATCACCACCAGCGGGCCTACTTCTGGACGGGTTCGCGAGGAAAGTTCTGCCCGAGTTCTTGATGAATGAGCTGCTTGTTGGCATAAGTGGGCTCCATGCCACGTCACACATCGGACACAACATTAGGAACCTGAGCCTTCTCAAACTTTTTGGCTCATTTACATATTGCTCCTTTTCCATCCACCCATAGAGTAATCCATTTCAATTATGACCGAGAATTTCCTGATAAAAATCGTCTATGTCAAATTAAAGACTTTGGATCTTTGCAAAATGTGTCAAGAGCCTGTCTGACAATAATGCGACGATGAATTCATTGCTTGGCATCATACTTTAACTAGGAAAAACTTAACGAGACATGTCTTGCCTTTGGCTCCTCGTCTCATGATTTACAGCATCTCCACAGTTCTGATTTAACCCTTTCATTGTTTTGACATGACCCTAAAAAAGGGTGAAACATTTCCTGGTAAGTCTAAATTTCTTCCTAAATGCCCAAATGTACACATACTTTCACCGTCGTAAAAGCGGGGCCCTCTGTCTGTAATGCCTGCACACAACTTACCAATATTTAGCAGTTGAGAAACACCAGTAATTGAGTATAGAATTGACCAATACTAACGATTGAAATGTAACTAACTATTAAAGAAATGCAAATTGAGTATAAACGTAGTCAGGCTCTGAGGTCTGCAGACTCGGGTCAATTTAGTGGAGCTCAGAGTTAAAAGCAAACATGGTGAAGCAGCATTTAGCTGTAATGCTGCATGCAAATGGAATGAGCTACGGATAGAAGTGACGGCAGCTGCTGGATTAAAATGTTTTTAAATCCAGAAATGTCTTTGTTTGTAAATTTTTTAAAAATGTACTTTTAATTATGTGAAGCACATTGAGGTATCTTGTCGATGGAATGCGCTGTATCAAAGCTGCTTTGCTTCGCCGTACTAAAACTCAGAATTGATGTCGAGTGTCATGAGATTGATGTTGTGAGCGGTGTTACAGTAGTACACTACTTGCGGGCAATTAATAGAAGTGACGGCAGCCTCTGGATTGAAATGTTTTTAACTCCAGAAATATCTTTAACGCATTTGTTTGTAATTTTTTTTAAAAATGTACTTTTAATTATGTGAAGCACGTTGAGGTATCTTGTTGATGGAATGCGCTCTATCAATAAAGCTGCTTTGCTTTGCCGTACTAAAACTCGGAATTGATGTCGAGTGTCATGAGATTGATGTTGCGAGCGGTGTTACAGTAGTACACTACTTGCGGGCAATTTGGGTTCAGTTCTGATTATGAGTATGAATGGTTATCTGTCTCTGGCTTGTGGATGGCTCGCGACGGATTCAGAGTACACCCCGCGTCTCGTCCTCAGTCAGCCGCAGTGGTTTCCAGGCTCGGCATAAGGAGGACATGCGTGATAGAAAATAAGTGAATGGATAATTTAATGAACACAGAACTTAGAACGAGAGTGTGTCTTAATTTGTTCTCAAGTGATCATTTTCTGCAACAAACCCAAAAATCCAGACATGATGTCCAACATGTTGCCTACACTGCTTGTCCTCATTACAGTCATGAGTACTGAGAACTAAAAGACTGTATTGTTATTTGTTCTGCTGTTTCGGAAGAATAACTTGGATGACGACAATTTTCACGCTTACTTGCAAACTTGTTCCAAATTCTCGCCGTTATTTTGTTTCATTTATTTATTTATTTATTTATTTTTGCAATTTTCGGTTCGATTGCGTTATTCCTCTTCTCGGTGTGTGTTGGTGTTATTGTCGTCGCTATTGTTGTGTGAGTCACACAGCCACACAAGCCGGCCTCTATGACTTTGCCAAGCCTCCCCTCAAACACAAATCCTCTTTATCATTCGTTGATGACGACAATTTTCACGCTTACTTGTTCCAAATTCTCGCCGTTATTTAGTTTTGTTTCTTTTTTTTTCGCAATTTTCGGTTCTATTGCGTTATTCCTCTTCTCAGTGTGTGTTGGTGTTATTGTCATCGCTATTGTTGTGTGAGTCACACAGCCACACAAGCCGGCCTCTATGACTTTGCCAAGCCTCCCCTCAAACACAAATCCTCTTTATCATTCGTTGCTCTGCTTGTCTCACGCCACAAGGCTGCTTGGAAAATCATTTCGACTTTCAAGGGATCCCCGCACAGCCCTTAGTTCAATCTGTTTCACGCTCATTATATGAAAAATATGATCTCACATTTTCTTAAGATGTGAAATACAGATCCCAATGGTCAAGTAAGAGAGCGGAATGTTTTGAATATTCCTCAACAGGGCTTCACGTTTGGCTTCCCTTACCTGAAGTTGCAATAATAAGTCGACAATCGGTATGTCTAAAATGGACCATATTGAGTCGTTGAGCATTCTGTCAATTGTTGTGGATTTGAGCTGCAGGCAACTGAGGAGTGGAGCGCACGACTTGGCTGCAAACAGCTGAGGCACTAATAATTTTGGCTGAATTAGTTTGCTGTCTTAAGGCGTGCAACACAACGTCAGCATTGCCCTTGCGCAGCATTTTTTGGCATGATGGGGTGTGCAGGGCAGGTCCCAAATACCGATTTGAAAGCTTCAGTGTGTGTGTGTGTGTGTGCGTGTGTGTGAAAAGTTCATGAGCGGGAAACATGTGGAGTTAAAGGGGGGAAAAAAGACAAGCGGAAAATGTGACGCTGATGGTATCGGCAAAATAAGTTGTGGAGTTAAAGGGGGGGAAAAAAGACGAGCGGAAAATGTGACGCTGATGGTATCGGCAAAATACAAGTAAGCCTTGTCATTGTTTAAGCAGCGGGGCTGTCATTTGGGAACGCAAAAGTTGCTCGGTCACTTTTGGCGATATCATCATTCGCTACCTGCGCTGAAATGATGAGAGTCGAGTGGTCGACGGCTGCATTTGACAAAAGTGATATCACAAGTGGATTCGGAGCCATGTCGGCTGCGTGGAGAAATTTTAAGAACATGACAACACTCTGTTGCCAGACTACAAATCACGGCTCTGCAAAACGGATGCTAAACTCTGCTCGTAAGGCGATAGATGTAACGTGGCATCCTTTCTGTATATCCTCCAAAACTGACATTCTACTTCATTGCATCACGCTGTCACGGTGCGTCGTTATTTTGCCTCTCTTATGGCTAAACCAAAATATTAGAAATGTCCTTCCGTATCTTGCGCCACTGCTCCCGTGTGTAAAAATAACAAGGCTTGTCATCGTTCCAGGAATTTGCTGAATTGAGAGACTCGCATCAGTGCTTGCGTGGAACTTGCTCGTCAAATAGATGAGCAGACGGGAATCACTTCTGCTTTTTTGTTTTTTTCAATTCTTCCCCAAATGTTCTCATATTGTTCGAAATAACCGGAGGACTCTTAAATGTCCTTGTAGATTTTTCCGCCGCCGAGTTTCAACCTGAGACAGAGGCTCTTTTGTGACGTCAGCAGCAAGCTGAAAACGCGGTTAAAAGGCAGCTGCCAAGGTCGTCGACATGGCTGCGTTTTTGTGGCATTGAGAGGAAAATCTTAAAACGGCACTTTTCTCTGGGGAAACTGTGAGCGTTGGGATCCAAAAGTTTTCCACCAGGCCTCTGTGAAAAAGAATAAGGAGAACATACTGTCCTCCCCAGGCGGCCCGGTGGTCGAGTGGCTAGCGCGTTGGCCTCACAGTGCAGCGGTACCGGGTTTGATTCCAGCTCCGGCCAGGCCTTCCTGTGTGGAGTTGGCATGTTCTGACCGTGCCTGCGTGGGTTTCCTCCGGGTACTCCAGTTTCCTCCCACATCCCAAAAACATGCGTGGCAGGCTGATGGAACACTCCAAATTGTCTCTGGGTGTGATTGTGAGCGCGGATGGATGTTCGTCTCTTTGTGCCCTGCGATTGGCTGGCAACCGGTTCAGGGTGTCCCCCGCCTACTGCCCGAAGAGAGCTGGGATAGACTCCAGCACCCCCCCGTGACCCTTGTGAGGATGAAGCAGATCGGAAAATGGAGGGATGGACGGATGTTGTCCTCCCCAATTAGGGAAACAAGAAGTGTGATGAAATTTGCCCACGCCACACATGATGTGTCCTTGTAGATTTTTCCGCCGCTGAGTTTTAACCTGAGACAGAGGCTCTTTTGTGACGTTAGCAGCAAGCTGAAAACGCGGTTAAAAGGCAGCTGCCAAGGTCGTCGACATGGCTGCGTTTTTGTGGCATTGAGAGGAAAATCTTAAAACGGCACTTTTCTCTGGGGAAACTGTGAGCGTTGGGATCCAAAAGTTTTCCACCAGGCTTCTGTGAAAAAGAATAAGGAGAACACACTGTCCTCCCCGGGCGGCTCGGTGGTCGAGTGGTTAGCGCGTTGGCCTCACAGTGCAGCGGTACTGGGTTTGATTCCAGCTCCGGCCGGGCCTTCCTGTGTGGAGTTTGCATGTTCTCCCCGTGCTTGCGTGGGTTTTCTCCGGGTACTCCGGTTTCCTCCCACATCCCAAAAACATGCAAGGCAGGCTGATTTAACACTCAAAAATGTCCCTAGGTGTAGGTGTGAGCGCAGATGGTTGTTCGTCTCTGTGTGTGTCCTGAGATTGGCTGGCAATTGGTTCAGGGTGTCCCCCGCTTATTGCCCGAAGACAGCTGGGATAGGCTCCAGCACCCCCGCCCCCTCGCGACCCTTGTGAGGATAAAGCGGATCGGAAGATGGACGGATGGATTCACTTCATTGGCCTCACCCTTGGGTCTAGGCCTGGCAGTCTCGGGGCGGGTCTGTCGACGCAGCGTGGCGGGCACAATCTCGGAGGGCAGGTGAAGGAAGTCCCGCAGGTACTGGATGCCCTCGTTGGTGAGGTACCAGTAGAAGTGGCGCCAGGCAAATTGCTCCTTGACGTAGCCGCACGACTTCAGGGACTGCACAGGCGAAAAGCATGCATGTTCAGGCCAATACAGTCAGCACTAGTCGAGAAATTAAAAAGGTCTCTTCAAAGGGTCGTTGCCCACACTCTCACCTGCATCGCTTTCATCACATGAAGATTGGGCACGTTCTTGTCGGCAAGCTCGGGATGCTTGGCCAGGTGGACGTCCTTTTTGGCCACCATTACTCCCTCCTTGAAGAGGAGCTCGTAGATAGCAATGCGATTCTTCTTGGGCATCAGCATCTGCTCATTTAGAAGAAAAAAAGCGCATAGTAACTCACTAGCCGACCCGGTTACGTCGCACGGACAATGCGCGTGTGTACGTGCTTCGCGGAAGCCAAAACAATTAGCGATAGTCCCAACGTAATAACAGAGGCTGTCGTTTGTTTTTCATATTTTCCATACACCCGGCACACTGATATAACTACAGGCGGCTCAGTTCAGCCAAATTCTTTCTCTAAAATATATACATACTCTGTTTGAGTGTGAGTTGCATTAAGCTTGACCAATTTACGTGTTAGCATATCCCCCCCGCCTCATAATTGTAGTAATGCACATACTTGGCCAACTGTTGATCGATGTGTTCCTGGCTTGAGCAGTGATGGAGACACCCCAAGACCTCGCTGGCTGGCAGCTTGGGTGAATGCAACAGGATCAAAGCGGATCTTGCAGAGTGGAAGCAAATAGAGCAGAACATGTCAAGGGATGTTCTTTGTTGCGACACTTCAAGCGCAACGCTTTCCCACTGACTTGAGATCTGAGGCGCTTTTTAAACGTCGCCGCTAATTCTGGTCTCCCTTAAAAGTAAAAGAGAATCTAACAAGTTGTGGTTCCCTCTGTGGCGTCATACAGTTGACCCTCGCTTTGTCGCAAATAACCATCTTGATGTTTATTTTTTTTCTGTGGAATTTGGGAAACCGCAAGATGGTGCCAAGGCAATGACTGATGGGAAAGTAGTGCCAATAAAGTACAACAGTCCCTTGCCTTTCGAGTTTTAATTGTTCTGTGACAATCCTCCTAATATTGCAAAATATTTCCAAGTCACCTTTCCCCTTTGATATGAATGGAAATGCCATTAATCCGTTCCAGCCCCACTAGAAACGGCAACAAAATGTGTCCACTTTTTTTTTTTTTTTTTTTTTAATGCACCAAAAATTCGGTCACCCGCAATAGCCCTAAATGCCCCCCCCCCCCACTATGTGCAGCATTGCTGTAAATAAAATACTCTCAAAATATGTTATTCATGTTCATGTTTTCTGCAGCTCTCAAGGAGAACAGCTCCGAAGTCGTGCAGCCTTTCCTGATGGGCTGTGGCACCAAAGAGCCCAAAATCGCCCAACTGTGTCTAGCTGCCATCCAAAGGCTCATGTCCCACGAGGTGGTCTCTGAGGTACCAGACTGGGGGCTCGGATCGGCCACGGTGTTAATGCAAATGCATACAGCACAACGAGGCTAATGCCCGGGGTCATGAAGGCCATCAAGACTATCTGGCCGAAGGACATTCTGTCATGAATTATTGGTGTCACTCTGATTCGCCCCAGGACACACACACACACACACACACACGCACACGCACCGCTCTTGTTTGTGCAGGTGTTCCCAATGCTGTGATCAGTGAGGGTACCAGTTAAACTTGCCTGCAAGATGAATTCTCGCAGTATGGGATAAGCGACTCTGACAATAACTTTTCTCTGTTGATAATCGGCTTGATTAAAAAATAAATATAAAATAACATGACAACTGTGCCGAAAAGGGGGAAAAAAATCTCAACTCAGGGCGCAAAAACTTGTACAAGAGCCACTTGGCATCGTCGATCTCGTCACGGCTTTTTCCATCAACACTGACCTAACTACAAGGTTAAAAATCACGCCGGCGGCCTTCAAAAAGCAATCGCCGCCGACCCTTGAGGGATTGCACAAACAGCTGTGACACCCACGAAAGCACAAACAGTGTCACAAATGTCACCACTACTTATATTGGTATTGAAATGTCCTTGGACTGATGCTTTTTGACCCCCAAGCGAGCGGCATCATCTGGTCACTTCGTACGCATTACGAGCCACAAAAAAAAAAAAAAAAAAAAAACGTGCAAAACACTCTGTGGCGTTTGTCGTTGCAGGCCGCGGCAGGCAACATCATCAACATGCTGTGGCAGCTGATGGAGAACGGTTTAGAGGAGCTGAAGCTTCTGCAGACGGTGCTGGTACTGCTGACTACCAACACAGTGGTCCACGATGAAGTACTTTCCAAGGTAGAAACGCATTCCAGTCCGGGTAGTCCGGGATAAAATGCCCGTACTGTATCCAGCGCCCTCCAGTATGCCACCAAAGCACTCAGAGGACCAAAATGCACTTCCTCTTTCTACTAGAATCACATTAAATCAATATTTGCATGCTGCTTGTGATGTGTGCTCGTCCAGGCCATTGTGCTGTGTTTCCGGCTGCACTTCACCAAGGACAACATCACTAACAACACGGCGGCGGCCACCGTCCGGCAGGTGGTCACCGTGGTCTTCGAGAGGATGGTGGCTGAGGACGAGCGTTTCAAAGGTCACAACCCGAGGGCCGTGGGAATGGGGGTGTTTTTTTGTTTGGTTTTTTTTTTTTTTTTTTTTTTTTTTGAAAGATTCCATTAACCGAGAGCAAATTCTCTTCCCATCCCAGGTATTGTGGAGCAGCCTCCTCCCGTGCAGGGCAACACCAACAGGCGGTCTGTCACCACCCTGAGGCCAAGTGCCAAAGATGCGTACATGCTTTTCCAGGTATGTCCACATGGGGGCAGCAGCCTCCTTCACAGCTGTATACACTTTAAACATCCCATTTGAGTTGATTGCCCTTAATCTCGTGTACCTCTGTTCATATTTGTGCAATGGTACAGCAAACATCCACAGTCAATGCTTGAATTGCTACGATGAAGGCAAAAATAAAATAAAAAAAAAGGTCTTGACTTGTTCATTGTGTTCTGTGACCATATTCCTAATTAAGGCCGCTCATATCTCAGATCATCTTTCCCCATTCAAGTGAATGGAAATACCATTAATCCATTCCAGCCACCCTAAAAACACCCCCCCCCCTCCCACACACACACACACACCCCAAAATGTGACGTGTTTCTCAACGTCATCTTCAACATTTTACAGGACCTTTGCCAGCTGGTGAATGCAGACGCCCCCTATTGGCTGGTGGGGATGACTGAGATGACACGGACGTTTGGCCTGGAGCTGCTGGAGTCTGTCCTCAACGATTTCCCCGGCGTATTCCTGCAGGTGGCTCCAATACCTTTTTCAAGTGTTTTTTTTTTTTTTTTATGGATTGGAGCCCGCAAGAGGGACCTGTTGCTACAATCTACTGCTACGGTCACAGCAGGAAAAAACTTGGATCACATGTTCACGTTTTCTTTAAGAACACCATTTGAGACGTCAAGGGATACAAAATGTGTAAAGACGATCTGAGATTGTGGCATATGTGATAAATGAGGGGAAGCACCAAGTGCAGTTCAGTTGTATTTAACTTTGGTGCATTTACATTTAACGTTAACTCATTCACTCCCAAAGACGTTTTTCAAACGTCTTTTCAGACTTGGTCCAGAATTGGCTGGTACCGAATGAGTTTTTTAAAGAAATGTTGGTCTTCCAAACATTGATTTGGTATATTATTATTGAACTAAAAATCCTACTTGGGGAAACAACGCACCGTAAATGAGAAGTAATCTGTTGCATTTTGACCAATGTACCTCTGTCTTTCCTCTCGTTCTTGCCGCACAGCACCAGGAGTTCAGCTTCCTGTTGAAGGAGCGCGTGTGTCCGCTCGTCATCAAGCTCTTCTCCCCCAACATCAAGTTCCGACAGGGGAGCAGCAGCGCCGCTTCGCCGGCCCCTGTGGAGAAGCCCTACTTCCCCATCTGCATGCGGCTGCTGCGCGTGGTCTCGGTGCTCATCAAGCACTTCTACAGTCTGCTGGTACGAGCGCGTGGCAGACCTCCTCTCTTAAGGCCGCCGCCAGTCTGGATCAGAGGTTTCCTCAAGGATGAAGCTGGGAAATGGGGAAACGATTAGCATCGGATTAGTTCGCATCGGCGATTTTTCAAGACAAGGATCATCTAATAATGCAGCTTGTTTTATTTGATGGGTTTTTTTTTTTTTTTTTTTTTCTCCTTCTTCCTGACTTTTTTTTCCCCACCCTCAAGGTAACAGAGTGTGAGATCTTCCTGTCTCTGCTGGTAAAGTTTCTGGATGGGGAAAAGCCTCAGTGGCTCAGAGCTGTGGCGGTGGAGTCGGTACATAGGCTGTGTGTGCAGCCACATTTATTACGGTAAGCTTTACATTCCAAGGCATGACACATTGTCGATCATTTTTGCGGCAACAATTTTTATTCTTTAAAAAAAAAAATTGCTAGAGAAACGGTTAAATATTGAGCCTAATTTCAAAGTTTATTTTCTTTCCTCTTACTCTAGTTCATTCTGCCAATCGTACGACATGAAGCAGCACTCCACCAAGGTGTTCAGAGACATCGTCAATGCCCTGGGCTCTTTTATCCAGTCCCTCTTCATCGTTCCTAATGTGGGCAATGCTTCAGCTGTCAGCGCACCAGCTGGTACGATTTGGAGCTCTTTTGAGACCTCGGCATTTACAAAGAAATGACTGATGCCGTACCCTCATGAATGTCAGGTTGCCCCAAAAAAAATGTAATCACTCCACATTAAGGGCTGGGCGATATGGCCTCAAAATAAAAATTCCAGATTTGTTTTTATTTTTTTGTTTTACTGTGCTCGTAAAAAAGGCGAATTAAACGGATTAACTGCCAAGCCCTACATTAAGTCTGTTGCAAATGCCCCCCCCCCTCCCCCATTTACTAAACTCATCAAACTTGTTTAGGTGGCTCGGGATCGGGGCCCCAGGGCACGGCTCAAACTTGTTCAGGTGGCTCGGGATCGGGGCCCCAGGGCACGGCTCAGGGCGGGCCAGGTCTAGGAAGCATCGGCGGGACCCTGACTACCCAGGCTGCGTTTGAATACCGTGGCACCTGGATCCCCCTGATGACCGTCAGCGCCCAGGGCAGTGCCAAGGCCACCTAGTAAGCCCCCCCCACCCCCTACTACCGCCGTGTCGTTTGGAAACACATTTGCCACACGTCACTTCCATTCCCGTTTCTGCTAGCCTGGAAATGCTGGACAAAGTGGAGCCGCCGTCCATCCCCGAAGGTTACGCCATGTCGGTGGCCTTCAGCGCCCTGCTTGACCTGGTCCGGGGCATCACCACCATGATCGAAAGGGAGCTCGC